TGGGACCTAATTAAACTATAAAGAGCTTTTGCACAGCAAAAGAAACTATCAACAGAGTAAACAGACAACCTAAAAAATGGGAGAAAATACACACAAACTATGCCTCTGACAAAGGGCTAATACCCAGAATCTATAAGAAACTCAAATCAACAAGCAAAAAACAAGTAATCCATTAAAAAATGGGTAAAGACATGAACTGACTCCTCTCGAAATCAGACATACAAGTGGTCAACAAATGCATGAAAAGATACTCCATCACTAATCTTCAGAGAAATGCAAATGAAAACTACAATGAGATACCATCTCACACTAGTCAAAAAAGCTATAATTAAAAAGCCAAAAAATCACAGATTCTGTTGAGGCTGTGGAGAAAAGGGAATGCTTATACACTGTTGGTGAGAATGTAAATTAGTTCAGCCATTGTGGAAAGCAGTTTGGAGACTTCTCAAAGAACTTAAAACAGAACTGCCATGAAATCCAGCAATCCCAATACTCGGTATATATCCAAAAAAACCCCAAATCTTTGTACCAAACAGACACATGCACTCACATGTTCACTGCAGCAGTGTTTACAATAGCAAAGACATGGAATCAACTTAGGTGCATCAACAGTGGACTGGATAAAGAAAATGTAGCACATATACACTATGGAATACTACACAGTCATAAAAATAACGAAATCGTGTCGTTTCCAGCAACATGGATGCAGGTGAAGGCCATTTTCCTAAGTAAATAAACACAGGGGCAGAAAACCAAATATCTTATGTTCTTACCTGTGAGAGCTGAACATTGGCTATTCATGGACATAAATATGGCAAGAGAGACATTGGGGACTGTCAGAGAGTGGAAGGAGGCAGGGGAAAAGTGTTGAAAAACTAACAATTGGGTGCTATGTTCAGTTTCTGAGTGACAGGATCATTCATACCCTAAATCTCAACATCACACAACATACACAGGTAACAAACCTGCACGTGTACCCCCCGAATCTAAAATAAAAATTTAAATAAAAAGGAATAAAAAATTTTAAAAAGTACTTGTTAATTTTTAATCACATTCAGAAACTTTGAAGGATCTCTTGAAAAAATGTTTACAGTAAATCCATCAGTGCCAAAAGAGTCACCCAGGGAAACTCCTGGGACTGGTCTTCTGTATGCTCCCCACACCATATTAAGGATCTAGGCCTGAAAGGCAAGTACTTTAACCAAACTGGTGTATAAAAACACCATACAAAACCTCACACTGGCATTAAAAACAGTCAGTACAATAACTAATGTTCAGACTGTTGCAGAAAGGCATGAATGGACAAGGCCAAACATAACACAGAGAGAGTATGTGGGGCTCACACAGCTGCTGCGTCATGCTAGACAGAGACTAGACAGAGATGGGGGGCCTTAGATAAGTTTAGCGATTAAATATAGATTTATGTCATGACTTAAAGAGAAGCTGTAACAGATAATTTCCCAAACTCTACAAAACTCCCTTTCCATCAGAAATACAAAAATTTTCAGTTGAACAGTTCAAAATATAATTTGTCCTACATTTCCAGTGACTCATCTGCTTTCCCAATATTTAATACAGTATGCTTAAAATATGCTTCACTTCTCTTACTACATGCAAAATTTGGCTCAAAACAAACACTACGGTGGCAGAAACAGTATGATGAAAATATTGCTATCATGAATTGGGTGATAGGCAAAGGGTCTAAGATAACATAATACAATAAGTGTTCAGAACATCTATATATTTCTGCAGCTTCAGTTACTCAGAAGTATTTGAAAAGCTCATCTGTACCACAAACTACAGCAGCTGACATCTAGCACTGGGGATATAAACAAGACTAGAATGTTACTGATTTCTTGTAGATATTTCCAAAGACACAATCTCAAAAATCAGACATATTGGGCAATGAGTTAGTTATACAGAGCTCTGAAACTAATCAAACCATATTTTATAGAATTAGATTTGCTTATTATGAGTTTTATACAAGACATACTGAAATAATTAAGTCATTTATCTGGTATCATGAAATTTGAAATTAAAATAGATTTATCTGATGATATAAATACTGAGAAAAATTATAGGACCAAATAAGACATTATTTTAGTTTAAGTGTTTGAGGATAAACTTTGCTTTGAGATCTGAATTTGGCTTTTAAGATGTTTTTCTTGAAGTAACAACTTTGAAAGTGAGTTTATGAAGTCATATAAGTTTGTAAAGTGAGTTTACAAAGTTTACCCTGTAATGTTAAATATATTCTCAAGCCTCCTCTCCTGTATCATAACTATTTAAAAAGTAGAATAGTACTGAAGAAAAGCATTTTTTTTTGAATACTATGATTTTAGGAACCTTTTTACTGTTCCTCTAAGCCTATTCTTGATTCTGCCAAAAACCACCTGGGTATTTCAATCTGGGTGCTCTTTTTTATTTCATTTTGTATCTAAGCAAGTACACTAAATAATTTGGTCAATGAACTCACGATTGTCTCTGAACAGTTCAGTTCAATTTTAAAAGAATGAACACAATCTCCAGAAATAACTAAGAACGTACTTTGTTCTGTTCTACTATTAAGTTCCTTTAGGTTAACTTAAAGAACTGGTATGATTAATCTCTAGTGTACTAGAATAATAGTTCTTTCACTAAATACATAGTGATGTATAATTATAAAATGTTGTATACTTAATACATACTTAATACTGTAATATATACATAAAATACGTTATAATGATGTGCGATACATGAGTGATATCAGAGCTACATGATACTAAAAGCTAATCATTATGATCTTAGGACTTTTCTTACTTATAAACAGCAATGTTTCCTGATTTCGTATTATGCTTACCACATGGAATCACAATTGTGAAATATAACTAATGTTCAGACTGTTGCAGAAAGTTTGCAAAGGCTGCTGGAGTTTTCAAACTGTGTTTTACAGAGCTCAAGGGGGAAAAGACCAGCAGAGGAGCAAAGGAGGGGACTTGAGCTTTGTACCCTCACCCAAATCTTACTCCCTCCACATTTATGTGAGACCTCAAAATATAAAACTGTTAGGTTTGGAGTTAAAAAGTAGAGATCTAAAACTAACATGCACTCATTGTGGGAAAATAAGGAAAAGCACCAGTTTAACATTAAAAAAAAGATATTTCAATATTTCAAACAGTTCATGACATTTGTATGTCAATCCTTAGTGATCTGGGTGAACCAATTATAAAGCTACACATGTCCACACATATTTTTGAATATTATATGCAAAGAAAATGACTAGTAGTGTCTAAAATGATTTAGAGACAAAGAAAAAGAGAAACAAAAGGAAACATGATCCAACAGAAAGCCTCTGATGCTCACATCCTTTCTGAGATCCACACCGTAGTCACAGCCCTGCTGCCTGGGCAGTCTCGGTGGTTGTGGGTGTGACACACATAGACCAATCACATAATCTCCAAGCAATCTAAAGTGAGTAAAAATGAGAAGCTGATGCAGAAGCTGTAAGGGCACATAAAAAGGAGGTAGGAGGCAGAATTGAGGCCACAGAGGAGGAGCATTGGAGGCCAAAGGTCTTAGAAAGCAGAGTCCATTTAAGTAGAAGATACTGAGTAAAAAAACAGAAAAGAAGGTAAGAATGTGAAAGAGAACAAAGCAGACTCAAAGATTTCCCAAGAAACAGAAAAGCACAGAAAGAGCAGGACATAACAACAGTCCCCCAGAATTGCCTCACTTCCCGATAACCTCCTTGTTGAAGGAGGTTACCCCCCCGTTAGACAAGGAGACTATCCTTACTTACAAACAAAACCAAAACCTTTTTCTTAAGATACTCTGAGTCCCAGTCTCTTTGACTCGCAACTAGAACTTAATTAGAACTAATGTTAATGATCTAAGCCCAGGTTAATAAGAAATTGATGCAAACATTATGTGGTCTTAAAAAGCTACATCTAGCACATGAGACTTTTCGAATGTGCTGAAACACCCTGAAGTAAGCCAGATATGGTATCATTCATCACATTTCACATTTATGCTACTTTACTTGGTTGTCAAGATTAAGCCACACTAACAGCATGGTGCAACAAATCAAACTATCTATGTTTTAACCACTTAAACCAAAAATAATAAAATCCTGGGTAGATATTATTAATTTGGCTGAACAGTTTCTTTTGCAGAATTCTTAACAAACTATGTTACCTTAGAACTTGATGTTACTTATGTAGGCCAGCATGAAAAAAAATGATAGACTAGAAGCATTTATTTACACCCCAGCAAAGGCAAAGTAACTTTTAAGAAGCTGTTATACAAACAGAATGGCAAGATTATATAGTCTGACTGTTCTAAAATAATTATGTCAAATGCATTAATAATCTTAAGTCTGATTTGATATTATATACTCTAGAGAAGAGGTTACTAAATAGCAGCTGAAGGCCATTATCTAGCTTGCAGTAGTGTTTGGGTTCACCTGCAATGTTTTCTTAAAAATAATTAAATTAGTTGATAGAACTTTAAAAATCGAGAGATAATATCTATAAAATCCAAAATCTCTGGCTTCTCCTGATATACCAGAAGATTTGCCTGTATTGGTGCATAATTTCACAAGTCAACAAAGGATTGTAGCCAAGTAGGTTAGTTATTCCTGTTAGATGGGGCTAGGGAAGTCCAGTTTCTTCTAATTCTCCCCAGTTGTCCACTAATCCCTGTGGGTGTTTTAGCTTGTAACCTCTGCTCTAGAGATAGAAGACATAAGTATCACCTCACATCAACATGTGATGTAATAATTGTTAATTTATAAATGGCAGTACTGCTTTGCTTACTGATGGCTATGGAACTACAAACATTTTAAGTAACCATTTATAAACTGTTAATTTATAAATGGTTCTGCTTTTGCAAAACTTGATGGCTATGGAACCAAGAAATATTTCAGAATTTCTAGTCTGAATTCTGTTTTGGATTTAATGGTAGTTAAAAATAGATCTAAGTTGGTACTCCCCAAGCCTTTTCCTCTGCCATGCTCTCCTTACCTTTTCTGTCTGGCTTGAGGTTCCTATCCACTGGGGGTGGTTCACAGTCTGCAACAGGAACTGGTCTTCTGGGAGGGGTTTTTGGGCTCGACCTAAAGCCCATATGAGCAGGAGGAGGAACTTGCATTCCAAATGAGGAAAAATCAAATGTTCCTGGAGTCATTGGCACATAATTTGCTTCCTGAATTGGTTCTGTAAAACTGCTGGAATGTTGTCGTGGCGGTGAGTTGGGATTCATTGGGACGTAATTTTCATCCAGTTCTTCACTTGAAACACTTCCCACTGTCAACACATTTTTGACTTTCTAAAACACACATATATTTATTTCAATAAACAAAAACTCTTCTCACACATGAAAACAGAATTGTAAGTCATGTCCATGCATATGGATCTCAGCATACTTTTATTCCATGATCTCACTTGGTCTCATGGCACTAATTATGAAGATTTAGACAATGAAATACCCTTGATGCCATGATCAGTTATACTTACGAAGTGGTTATGGAAGCCTTCAAGCGAACTAGATCTATCACTTGGAAATGTTCGTGGAATATCATAGCAGTCTTGAGAACTAGCATCTAAAATAAAGAACAAACTATCAACATTTCTTCCTATCTTTGCCAGAGCTCAGGGTCATCAGGATGACCTATTATCTTTCTCTCGTTATACATAGACACACACACGTGCACACACACACAGATTTTAAAGAGAATGCTCACAGCATTCTATCTTGAAATTGGCATATTAAACCACTAGAAAATGCAGACACTCACTCATATGCTAACCAATACCAATATCTGATTTTGAGTGTGAGTGAATGTCTAAGTCTAGGATAAGACAGGTTATCTAAAGATGAAGAGAAACACCTCCATTTTCTCATCATTTGCACCACCTTGGGCCCAACTTACATCTCACTAACTTATAACCAGGTTATACAGTCACTTCAAGAAGAGTTAAAAATTGTTATTGAATGGTTAAATAAGCACCTATTTAAGTAATAATCACAAATACATTAAATATTTATCTCCTTGAAGACAGCTGGAAAACTCTACCACAAAATACAGAAATTTTAGCACACAGCATTTAGGATATGTGCATTAAAAACTTTAGTTTTCTATTTTTAGGACTGAGAATCTCAGTATCACTCAGACTCATTTTTTTTCTCCTCTCAAGGTAACTTTTGGTTACAGACTCCAAGAGATGGTATTGGAAAATATACCCACCAGCAATCAGTGAAGTGGGTAGTGATAAGGGGAGAGAAGATTCAGCTCTTTAAACACAAGTAAAAATCAAATAAACAGAAAGCATAATAGCTAGATAGGAAGAGAATATCACCTGTTAGACACAACATAAAAACTGCTTATATAGGAAGGAAGGAAATAGAGCCCAACAGATGTGACTTAGAAGCGGCCATAATGGCACACAAATACAGGAAAGGGTATGACTTGGAGAGGCTTTGTGGCTGGTCCATTTCCTGCCCTTCTGTCCCAACAGAGGGCCTATCCACCCAGGATTACAGAAAGTGGGAGAGAGAAGGACACACTTCCTGAAGCAGGAAGGCATTACGACGGCTATACTTCTTCAGGGGTGAAAAACTCCAACGCTTTCTCCCTTCCAGCAGAGCATGAATGCACATATACCCTTCCAGGTAACTGTAGAGCTGAAAAAAATGGACTATATTTCATAACATAGTATATTTACGCTTAAAAGAACAAATATTCAGACAAATCGATTTTCTATCATTAACCTCTAATAGAGAAGAAGTCAACTAAAGCTGACCTTTTCGCAATTTGTTTAAATCCACAGTGGAAATGGTATTACTACGTGATGGTGGCATCCCTGCAGTAGGGATACAGTAACTACTGTCAGTGTCCGAGGCCGTGCGTGGGATACTACACGTTTCCACAGGAGATCGGTCATGAGTTGGATGTGGTTTAGGTGGCCGAGGTGGAGGAATATCTGGAATAGTGTCTAGCTTTGATGTCTGTCCCAAGGTTCCTTCTGGAAATGTTCGTGGAATCTGATAAGTATTACCAGGTGTTGGAGGAATGTCATAACTAATAGATACATGCCTCATTTGAGTCTCTAAACTCGATGTCCCAGAGGGGGTGTTAAAAACATAGAGTTCTCCATCTGCTTCAGTACTTGATGGAGACACCTTTGGTAAAACATCATGGGAATAACTCCTGGGCAGGTTATAAAGGCTGGAGTCTACAGAAGCAGATGCGGCACGTGAAGGTGGAGAGTCGTATATCATTTGCTGCTGAAAGAAGCCATTCATTCCATGTTTGCTCTGGGAAGAAGCAGGATTTTTATGAGAAGAGACGTTATCATTGCAGTCTGTTTCAGAAGAGGTGGATTTTGCAGAATCAGTGTGTGTTCTAAATAAAAATCGTTAATGACAGAATAAACAAGGTGAAGGCATAAAAATACATTTTTGATAAACATATTTATAGCTTAGCAATCAAAAGACAGGGCTTTTCTCATTAGACTTTTTGTGTGATCCAAGGGATTTAAAGCAAAAATGTTTTAAATTTACAGTTTTTATGATTAGACACCAGAAAACAAAACCGCCACCACAAAACCAACAAAAGCATTCTCCCTAATTCCATCCTATACCTGCCCACACCCCCAACTCCACCTATTAAATCTGCACATAAAAACACAATCCCTGAAGCACTGTAGTTAAACGTTACAAAACTCTGGGAAAGGTCAATGATTAATGCATAGACACAAGGAAAAGCATTTCCTCTGAAGTGCATGCAAAAACCTAGTGCTAGTACAGTTTATAAAGTTGATCTGTTGGTCTTAAACCTCCCCGTGGCAAATTTGTCGTTCTGTAAAATTAAAAGTCTAACCATTACTTGGAATTGAATAAAGTCAATCTGACCTACAAGGTGACATCTAATTGTTTTCATGTATCTTCCTTTTCACTACTTTAAACAAACATTTAGCTAACATTACAAGGAGGATCAAAATACATGATAACAGAGCTAATCAACTCCAAACAATAACTCACTTTGAGGAATCTCAGTAAAGTACATTTCCGTACATTTTCAGCCTCTACATTTTGAGGTTATCACAAAATGTGGTTATAGGACAAGATGAATCTAACAACACAAGCACACTCTCAGTTCCTTAATGCTAAACAGGATACCTGAACTACTTCTACATGTTTCTCGTCCTATAGGAGTTCAAACAATATTTCTTTAAATAACTATAATAGTTTTTTTTAAAGGGCTTACTTTCCCAGACTTCTTAGTAACAACTGGCACTATGCACTGTAAAGTCTCCCCGGTCACTATCAGAAAACCCACACTGTGCTTTTGTTTTCTTCATCTTAAAAACATCTTAAAAGCCTCCATCTTAAAATCCTTCTCCCTCACTGATGATTTCCTTGTTTCACTGACTGGCTCCTTCTTCCTGTCTCTCTGCCTGGAAATGGCCAACAGAGTTCGGTCCTCTAGCCTTTCACCACGCTTGCCATTAGAGATCATCCTGCTTTTCCAGAACTTCATTTTCTTCTCTGAATGCTGACAACTTCCATCATCTTACCAAACTCCAAGTCCCATATTCTCAAACTGATATTTCTGCTTGGATACTCCACTATTACCTTGTTTGTGTGCCTCAAATTGAAATCCATTTAGTTTTTAAATTGACTACTTTTCCTGGCTTGCATGAAAGAAATTACTTTATCCAGATTCTCTAGGCTCAAAACCCAAGCAGCTTGATTACTTCTCTTTGATCCCCACTCATGCAGGCACCAAGCCCTTCTTCTTAGCCATGCGCTTATTCCCTTGCTCTATTCCCATTGCCGCCATCCCAAGTTCAGGTCCCTGTCCCTGCTGAGATCTACATGACTGAACACTACTTAGGGGAATTTCCTCTACTTTCTGCCTCTTCCAATCTATTCATGGAGCCAGACTTCTACAAGGTCAGTATTTTCAAAACACAGCTGTTATACCACTCATGTATTCAAGAGAAAAACCTAGTAAGTGCCCCCTACAGGGTGTGGAAACTATAAGGCCTCACACGAAACCACTTGACATTGAGGCTACAAATAATTTGGCTCCACCTTCTCCATCCTATATTATGTCCTACTACTTCCAAATCAAACCCTTCCCTCCAAGAGGCTCTCCTCCTCATTATCTTCCTCCCACCACGCTCACTCATATCTCTCTTTTCCACCAAGCTATTTTTGCGCAAATTACTAATGATTTTCTTCTCTTCTCTCACCAACCAGCTATGGTTCATATCCTGCTCTTCCTATGAAGCTTTTGTTTTCTCCATCTTAAAAACACTTGCACTGTCCCTCTGTGGAATTTCAAATACACCTTTGCATATTCTAAAATTTGTACTTTATTTAATTCAAACGCAGAGTTAAGAGAAACTAGAGGAATTATAAGTAATAAGCAAAGCTCCCTGCTCTGACTAGCTTACAGTTAGTGAAGATTAAGTAAAAACATCAAGCAGCTTCTAGCACTGTGATAAAACAAGATATGAAGGCATAACCAGGATGCTATAAAAACCCAGAAAGACATTTAAGCCAACTTGGGAGTTTGAGAGGAATGCTTCCTAGAGGAGCACATTCTAAGCAAAGTCTTCAGAACAAACATGAGTTTGCAAGGTAACTCTCATATATTATCTTCATCTATAAATATTTAATGCTTGCATGTTTTTACTTCTTAACAAATCTTACGCTCCAAAGATGACTATATCTGAGTAGACTGTATCTTATATAATTAGTTTGTACCTTTATAGTACCTAGCATAATATTGGGCACATAGTGGTTACCTCATAAATATTTGCTATTTAACTGTCACTTTTGCAAAATATACATAGCAAAATATATCTGGGTGATGATTTTGAACGTCAGTTTTACTGCAAGAGGAAAGCTGTAATACCAGTGAATCAATGAAATACACTATATAAAACTAAAATAGGGGTTGGGCATGGTGATTCACACCTGTAATCCCAGCAAGTTGGGAGGCTGAGGTAGTGGATCACGAGGTCAGGAGATTGAGACCATCCTGGCTAGCACAGTGAAACCCCATCTCTACTAAAAACACAAAACATTAGCCAGGTATGGTGGCATGTGCTGTAATCCCAGCTACTCAGGAGGCTGAGATAGGAGAATCACTTGAACCCAGGAGGTGGACGTTGCAGTGAGCCGAGATTGTGCCACTGCACTCTAGCCTCAGTGACAGAGTGAGACTCTGTCTCTAAAAAAAATAAACAAATAAAATAAAATATACTGAGAACTGTCACTTAGCTGTTGGCTTTTTTAAAGTTGCTACTGAAAAATTGTGAATTTTTGTAAAATAAAATCTTAGTTAGTAGCATAGGTAACAAAGTTGCCAGTGTATAATTTTAAATTCTCACAGCAAACAAGCAAAATCAAGTTAGAATTTGATATTATTAACAAATGTTGATTTATACATTTTTTTCTGCTCTTACAGGTAAAATCCCATTACAACAAATACATAGAAACCCAGCTTTGGAATGAATGTGAGCTGTTTCCATCATCTCAGGGCATGGTTCACAGAAACTAGTTTGTGAATCTCCACAAATTCCACATTAAAATTTCTGAAAAACTGCTTTGTCTGATCCTAGCCCATTAACAATCACTTTCTACATTAAAAAAAAATCTTTTTCTCATAAAATAATGCTTAATTATAATCTGGTTTAAAAACCATTTTTCTTGTTTATAAAGAAATACACTCTCTATCCAGTCCCCAGCTGATTAATAAACAAATAAAATATACTCAATTGACTGGTATCATTCATTGTCACATAGCTATTAATGGCAGACACTGGCCTCTTAATCATCATTTTTCTGCTCCTTTTAAAAACAGTAAAACTATTGCTTCTTGGCTCCTTTTATCACCGTAACTCTGCCAACTACTCAATGTCAAGTAACAAAGAGGATCCAATTAAAATACCTTATAGCTTAGAAGAGGAAAGGGAGCAGGGAAGAAGATGCTAGGGAAACCAAGAATTTGGGAAAGGCTTTATGATTGCTTCAGTCAATGCTGCACTCCGTATACTTCTTTCTACTTAAAAATTTGTAAAGAGAGGCCATGTGCAGTGGCTCACACCTGCGATCCCAGCACTTTAGGAGGCTGAGGCAAGAGAACTGTTTGAGGCCAGGAGTTTGAGATCAGTCTGGGCAACATAGTGAGAACTCATCTCTATGAAGAAATTAAAAAATTAGCCAGGTGTGATGTACCTGTAGTTATAGCTACTTGAGAGGCTGAGGAATGCTTGAGCCCAGGAGTTTGGGGTTACAGTGAGCTATAAGGGTGCCACTGCACTCCAGCCTGGGCAACAGAGCAAGCTCTTGTCTGTTTAAAAAAAAAAGTAAATAAAAAGGCTTAGGGTTAGCTCTGCTTCACTGCTAGTTATGAAGACTAAACATTTCATAATTTTTAGGAATATATTTATTTGATCAAATTTCACTAACATCCAATTTGTATATTCCATGGAATTTACTATATTGGGATTTTACCTGTATGATTAATTTCTCACACAGATCCAAAACAACCACAACACACTCACTGCAATGGAATCGTTTTGCTTTCAAAATCTTCTAGTAGTAGGTATTCCTCTCCTTCTTCAGAAACAAAAGATGACCCTTGGCTGGTTTACAATCACATAAGAAATGGAGCAAGATCACCATTTATAAATCAGTGAAATCTGTTAAGCAAGTAATACTGTGAGTCTGTAACAAAGACTACAAAATAGTAGACAGATTTCCAAAAGAGAGTGGTAGGGAAAACTGTTCTTTGCCAAAGATGGCAGAGATTGTGTCTCTTTGATACAATCTCCTGAATATCGGAAATCAATAGGGGAAGGTAAACCTGAAATATAAGCCTGAAACACATGCCTATATAGATGGTTTCTTTCCAACCTGCAAGTCAAGGTTTAAAAAGTTTAAAGATAAGAATCTTAATGTGTACACACATACACACACCTCTGTCTCTCTGTCTCTCACAAGGGCATGTATAACTTACCTGATGGGTTCGGGCTTCTTGCTTTGACAGTTGATGAGCAACAGGTAGTCTTGAGGATCCTCCTGAATGCCAAGAGTTTCCAGGTGTGGTGGAACGTTAATTAGCTGATACGGAGGAGGTAGAGTAGCAGAGGATGAATCTGCCTGGGTGGATGGTGGTGCTGTATTTATAGCTAAAGGTAAATCAGCTGGTGCTTGTAAGGAGCTGCCAGGTGGCTTCACAGGATCTGCAACACCAAAGTTTAACTATTACATCTATCACAGTTAAAAAATCTTTGGAAAACAGAGCTACTTTGGAGACAAATTGTTTCAACACACGAAAGCAGAATAAATCATGACAATGTCAGCTAAAATGAACACTACCTAAATGGCAACCTTTATACAGGAAGTATTTTTTTATTCTTGTCAGAGAGATCTAAAGAGTGGGACTCCCTATATTCCAGAAGCTCTAAAAAAGTCATGGCTAACCTTGCCTTGAACAGTCTTCAGTTTTGAGTCTATGGGAAGGAAGCTAGCTGTTCTACAACCTTAGCAGAAGAGACAGATTTTCCTCCCATGATAATAAAGCGCTTCCTAAGCCAACCCAACCTTCCAAAAAGACCCGTTTAATTACACAGTTTTTACCAGTACCATGGTCCTGTGAGTACCAGGGTCAGCTCTTTACCCTATGCTTATTTTGATGATCATTCTTTTCTTTCTACCTCTTAGCAGATTAGAGAGAAATATTTCTAATTCTGGGACTGGTGAAAATGGTCTATTCATGTTCAAGGAAAGAGTTTTTTTAAGGCATCATCTCTTCCCCTCAGCTCATTTATTTGCCATTTGGTGGATTTTTGTAGTATTTTTATGAAAAGAGGGACAGCAAATAAAGAAGTAAATTATTAAACCCTTAACTATGTTCTGAGAGAAAGATGAAAAGAGCTAAATTGTACAAAATGAAGCAATCTGAAAACCAGGTGAAATTCTAGAATAAAATCCCACTTTAGTCACTGTCATAACAAAGTATATTAAAGGCCCAGAAAATAATGCTCTGTTAGTCTGGTTAGGAATAGAAGGCAATAAATAATTCAGAAAAAGGCAAATGCTCATACATGAATAAAGAAATTTGTTCTTCAAATTTGTTATAAAATAGAAAAAGCTACGTTGAAACTGAAATTTTTCACAAAACATTAAATATGCTAAAATATGGTAACGATAGATGAAAGAGGCAGATAAAAAGGAGGGTCTCCGGAGATTCTCCGACCTGCCAGCACACTGGGAATCGGGATGGAGCCACGGAAAGTTCGCACGAGGGAAGGAGCCTGGCCTCTTCAGTTCCCATACGGTGGCCTGGTATTCAATCTGTGAGATGGGGGCCTGTTAGAGGGACCCCCTCTCACTTTGCTGGATGTTTATTTTTCTTCTTTTCCTTTTTTGCCTAATAAATTCCACTCCCCTCAAAGTGTCCTTCACTGCATTCCCAAGCCTTCCTGGTCGTGTGACAAAAACTCAGTTTTAGCTGAAATAAGGTACAAAGTTCTGCATCATTTTTGGTGCCCGAATGTGGGGCATGAGGAAGGGTAAGATGCAAACCAAAAAATCTTTTTGTCCTCAGACTTCTGAGAGATTATGCCTTCCCCCAACTCCTGTCGCTCCCAGGAATCGGGAATGTTGGACTTTCCTTCTTTTTTCAAGATAAGACAGTAGTGGCCATGGCCAAAAGGCCCTGTGTGGCAAGTGGGCCAGCATTCCCCACCACGTCGCTCTCCCTGTCGGAGGAACCATCTGCATAAGAATGATAACTTCTTCCCCAGGCATCATTTTCCTTTCTCCACCCTGTCGGTAGTTAACAGCCTTGCATTTAAGCTGTCTTTCACTTTTCTCCACCAGGTCAGGAGTTAACTGTAACTTTAAAGTGAGTTTTTTTGTTTTTGTTTTTCCCAGATGATGTTTTACTAGGCCAGGAAAAAGGATCGCTGTTTATTTCTCTGTAAAGTTTTAATTATGAAAAAGGATTCGTGAGGTTGGTCTTAAGCTATAGCCAATCTGGGGTGTTTTGCATGCCTTTCTGTATGATCAGAAGCAAACTTTGCTGCAGGCCTCCGTCTTATCATACACCCTTGGAAGTGTGACAGGTAATCACTCGGCAGTGCTCTGTTTCTCCTCTGCCATTTTGCAATGGTGGCGCAGGTTCAATCCTGGCTTAGGGAACGAGCCCTTTCTGGTTTAATATCTATCTGATTTTTGCTATCTGTTGATTCTCTTCCTTTCCATGAACTGCCTTGGATATTCCTTTCTCTGAGCCTTTACTAAAGTTTGAAAGCCAGAAATACTGACCACTTGGTGCAGCTAAAATCGGATAACAAGGGATTTAAAAGAATTTTCTTAAAGAGCACTCAGCTTAATTAAAGGTGGACATCCAAATTGTGGGTATATTTACAAGGCCTTTATGATATTTCCTTCCTGGATCTTGCTTTCCCGGAAAAGGGCTTTTTCTAGTCAACTGAATTATTTTTCTTCATTTTGCCTGGCCAACCTTAATGCTTGCATGATGAAGGGAAAGTCCTCTGTTTTCCTCATGAAACCCCAGGAATTAAAAGTGAATAGATCCCTCCTAAATCTGTTTTTGCCCCCAGTTATGCCTGTTTATTAGGCCTTAGAAGCTGCATGTTTTTCTAACCCTGTCTCTTTATGGGCTCAACCTGGAGGCAAATAATCCAGTTAGGAGGCTGGCAAACAAAAAATCTTATGGCTACTGGGTTGTGTCCTGTGGTTATATACGTATTATATGTGTGATGTCTATAAAAGGAGCTCTAATTAACTTAAACAAGGATAGGTTCTTGGATCAAATATTGAAAGGGAAGATAAAAGTTGAGGTATCTTTTAGCTCACGTGACTTTAATCTTTGAGAAATAGAATTGGCCTAAAGATTATTGGTAAAATGCAGATGTCAAAATGTACATTTTTGCCTGGGTTAAAGGATTGTTTTGAATTAGATAAGATAAAGCTAAAAGTTCAAACAAGTTGTTAAAGGATTGTAAAAATTCATCTTGCAAAAGAAATTCCATGTGTGAACATATTAACTAAATTCAAAAGGCTATAATAGGGTTTTTTTGTAAATTGAGCATTGAAATAAAAGCACAACAAGGTACTCTGAAGGCACTAATCTCTTTGGCAAAATTTTTAAGGGGTTATAAAAGGTTTCTGCTTTTTCAGACATTTCCGAGTCATTTTGGCAAAATAACTTATGGTAATCTGGAATTCTGTTTCATAACATCGAGTCTTCTGACCCTCTAACAGGCTTGCCAAAATCAAACTTGTTTTGAAATTGTCTTTGCTGACACCTGGATTTCTGGATGCTACAGAGGGCCCTTGGAGCATCCAGAAGAGAGATAAACAGGACTTATCAGACATGTTTAGGTACATGGTATTCCCAAAATGATGTTTAATCTTCTTCAGGTTATATGTTGGAGAACAATATTATCTTCCAAAATTGTATAGGATTTCTAAAATTCTAATGTCTGAATATGTGCTATCAGTCACAAGGTTGTTATGTTGTTGTAAACTACGGAGATAACTAAAGTTCCTTTTCAGTTGTGTTTCTGACTGTAACTACCCTGGATATTTCATTACTCACAGATAATTGTCTTGTTTTGATCCTCTTCAAAAGATGGTTTATAATCAGCTACAGAACTTTGACAGGTGCTTTCAAATGTAGATTTCTGATAACTTGGGAAATTGTGGCATTGGAATAAAGGAAAAATGTGCCGGACTCATGGAGAGTTGACATGTTCACGAATATCAAGCAAAACAAGAGTTAACTAAATGGACTGAACTAATAGAAGACCAACTTCTATTTTTTGGTCAAAGTTGGTCAAAAGTCAAAGACCAACTTTGACTTTTGCTTGGAATATTGCTGATCCTTGTTTTTCAGAGTCAAAGGAAACTTATTTTGAGCTATTCATGGCCTTTAATAATTAAAATATAATCCTGTGAACAAAATTTGGAGCACATTTTTTTGCCTCACTTCTCCAGAATTTGGAAACTAGTTGTGAGTATTCTTAACTTACGGCAATATGGTTGTATCAGTGCAGTAAGAATCGATTTTCTTTTGCAACAGGACGCAATTGGAGAAACTGGTTGTTTTACCAAGGTTTTGACTGGAAGGGTATGCTTCCCTTTAAGAAGTCAAGCTCTACTTGCAGAGCTGAATAAAGCCCCTTGGGAAAATTGGTCTCATAGCTTGTCTACACAGTCCCTGTACAGGGTTCTTAACTTGTGGTGAGTAAAGAATGTCACTTTCTAAGAGGCCTAGGAACCACATCTTCTTGGGACCTCAAGAAGAGAGGAGTTTACCCACTCACAGGTATTTGAGGGTACAAACTCACTTGTGGACTTGGCTTTAGAAAGTCCTGAGATCCCTTGGTGAACAGGGTTCCATCAAAGCCAATCTAAAAGGCCTATGTAAAACTAATTATTTGGCTGGGCATGGTGGCTCACACCTATAATTCCAGCACTTTGGGAGGCTGAGGCGGGCAGATCACTAGCAGTCAGGAGTTTAAGACGACCCTGGCCAACATGGTTGAAATCCCATTTCTACTAAAAATACAAAAAATAGCCAGGTGTGGTGGCATGTGGCTGTAGTCCCAGCTACTCAGGAAGCTGAGCTGGGAAAATCACTTGAATCCAGGAGGCAGAGGTTACAGTGAGCTGAGATCATGCCACTGCACTCCCTCCTAGGCAAGAGGAAGACTCCATCTCAAAAAAAAAAAAAAAAAAAATTATTGCTGCACTTTATGCAAATGGGACCAAGTATAAGACTAAAGTATTTTGCAAACAACTCAGTCCTATTGTGATTTGTTTTCAACAAAAATGAGGACTGCAGAGAGACAGAAATGTTTGAAAACTTGTCATATATTTGTCATTACATTCAACTCATTCTAGTTGTTTTTAAGTTCTTGCCTACATTTTAAACTAACTTTGCTTACTCCTGTGAAATCAACCAGCAATCTCTGGCTGTAGCTCAGAAGGAGCTAAGGGGTTGGGTAGTGTAAAAATCTAGATCAATATTCTAGTTCTAAGCAATTATCTTGAAAATCTGCCAAGTGATGGGAATAAATAGGATGCCCATCACCCAGAGGTTTCCTTTTTGGGAAAATAAGACCAAGGGAGCTAACCAAAGCCCCCTTGCACCAAAGCCCCATGTACCCAAATCTTAGCAAGCGTAACTATAGCAACTAGTTATCTG